CTGAGACTTTAATTAGTCTCTTTTTTGGCAATTATGTTCACAAATGAATTCACAAATTTAAATTAATGATCAAATAAAACCCAAAGTGATACAAATGGCAATCGAAAGGCGTTAACAGGTCTACAAAACTCATATAAAACTCATATACGGGAAGACACACAACCAATTCAAACAATGGAAAGAACAAAGATTTACCATTGTTTAAATTGACAATTAAACATCAATCATTGAAAAGATAGATTTATACGTGCTACATGTTATTAGAGAGTTGCTTACTTGAAAGTAAAGGAAAATACTGATTTTTTGTTTTCATTCTTAAAACCCTTTTTTACTAAATAATAATACTTAATAAAAAAATGTTGGTGTTGATAAAAAAAACTTATTAATGATAAAGCATTGTACTGCTACAAGAATAAATTTAGCTCAAGGCTCCATTTTACTTGTATTTGAGTCATCAATCAATTACCATCTGTATATATTTGGTCTCTCTTTTCTTAGCTTCTAAGGTTTTGGGTCTTTCTTTGGAAATTTAATGATTGTAAGTCACTGTGTTTTCTTGGTTGTATGTTCCAACTCAGAGTATGGTGCAATTTTTAAAAATAAGACTAAGTTCACATTTTTAAAATAATTGCAAAAATTTATTTAGTAAGATTGGACTGTATTTGGTTTTAGAAAAATCTCAAGTTGTTGAATTTTCTTGTAATCATATTTGGTATGATATTTAATGTTATTTGGATTTCTTTTAACGTTTGTGAATTAGTTACACATTAACAGTACATTGTCACTAGAATTAGATCTCTTTGTTTAACAATTATGTTATGGTTGATTCTGAAAATTAAATAGACTTCAAAATGAGACAAATAGCAATTAGAAGACTTTACCAATCCTACAAATTATCATGTACTGGTTTTTTTTTAACATTGTTGTTATGTCTCCTTTTATATATTAAGAAGGAAACATGAGTTAGTGAGAGCATTTGCATTGTAGAGTCTTTCACAAGAGTTTCTTATTTATAGAAATAATAATAATAATAGTAATATTTAATTTACAAAAGTCTAAAAAGCATTGTAAACTCTTTCAAAGATTTCAAAAATTCTCTTAACATTTTTGAGAAACTCTTATAATATTATTATTTTAATATTTTTAATATATGAGAAAGACTGTTGTAAAAGATCTTAAGATTGTACTACATTTTGCATCCACGCTACGCGTAGGTAATTTTTAATGCTATCATATTAATAGAAATCATATTAAGCAGTTATATTTATTTAGATGTTAATTTATTTTAATAAAATTTATCAAAAGTAATTAAGTTTTAATCTCTAAATTTATATATAGATTTTGAGGTTTCAACGATTTTGTTTGTATTTATATATGTGGTTTTAAAAAACATATTATTTTCTTAAGCGCTTAACATTTTCTATACCAAAATCAACCCAAAATGAAACAAACTAATTAAATAATACTTAATTAGTATTAACACGAAGATAAATTACTATACATCACTTATTAGTCAAGAAAATACCTTTTTTTCATCAGTTGCATCTTTGTTAGGTATGCTTTTTATTAAAAAATTAGAAAATAAAAAGTATTATCTTTCCTTAGCTAGTTTAGTCGATACAAATTTCTAATTTATTCTAAATTAAAAAATAAACTAATAAACACAATTTTTGCTTTCATATATTTTCAGTAAATAAATATAAAATAAAATTTAAAACTAATTTCAAATCACAAAATTCGATGAATTCAATATAAATTTTAGTCAATTTTATCTTAAATTAGTAAATACCAAACATTTTCTCGAGTAACATATTGTGTGTAATAACTTGTAATTACTGACAACCAGGAAAGACAAAAAAATTCTCCTTATTTTACTGTTTTCATGAGTACAAATTATACTTTATAGCATTTAATTATCCCTTAATAAACTATTAAATTAATTTTTGATATATATTAAAATAGATTTTATAAACTTATTGTCACCTATAAATTATTTTTAAACCACCAATTATCTCTACATATTAATCTATGTGTTGTTTTTTTATGTTATAGTAAATATTATTTTAATTTTTTTGATAATTTCAACTTGTATAAATATTTTTAAATTTTTCTAATGCTTGTAGGTTAGTATACTAAAAAGATAACTAAAAAAAATTACAAAATACTAAATTACTATTTAATAAAAACAGTACTGACACGAAAAAGTTAATTTATGTTTCTTCTCTAATAAAAGAAAATAAGATTTTTCTTCATCTTCAAATTTCATTTTTTTT